AAATAAATTCCAAATTCTTCATCATGAATTACGATTAACTTGATTCCTTTTCGGATACGTAGACAGTCTAATTAAACTAGGTGCAGTCACAGCTCCTCCACAATCAAGTGATATTTAAACTCATATCAATTCAAATGGTTATTTACCCATTTCAAACATATTGAATATTTTGTCTATTCAAGATCAATGGGTCATCTACCCGTCGATCTTACCCAAAAATAATAATAATAATTTAATATTCCCGAACTACAAATCGGCTTGATCCCGATAACGAGTACTTAGAACAGTCTAGACAATTAATCAAGGTCCAGCCACCATCACAAATAAAATGTCTTTATTGTGTAAATGGTAACGTGTGATAATTTCTTGTTAAAATAAAATGACGTTCTCTTGAAGCAAAAGCTTATAACTAACAGATATATACTATCTAGAATGAGTCTAACCTACATTTAATAAAACTTGTATAATTCTTCGTTATACGAGTGAAGTCATGTTTGACAAAATATTTAAATATTTACCCAACAAAAAGATTACCAATAATCGCAGAAAATGGAGAGGCATGTCAAGAGATAACGTTGTAGAGCCATTGATTACAGACGGTTCAAGACATGTTCATAGTGGTTGACAAGAGAAGCCATGAGTACTGGCTAGGTGGTCAGGAAAAATGACTAACGATTAAAAGTTTCGGCCTATAAATACAAAGACACAAGTCACAGAGAGAGCAAGGGAGAGAGATCCAACGATCAACACTCCTACAAACAACATACTTGACCCATTCTACGCTGTTTAATTTCTTGTTGCTTTGTAATTTCGCTGTCATTCCGGTGACTTACATTATTATTCATTTCATCTACGTTTTTTTTGTTGTTAGCCTATTTAAAAAAAATTAGTTTAAGTCATTGATCTACAAGGCAGAAAAAAGAATTTAAAGATAGTGTTACACTTCGTTTCAATCGTCTGAACAATGAAAAAAATATTTTATGGGACAACCGTTCATTTCTAACTAATTATGTTTTGCAAGGTTGTGCTTATAGGTAATTTGGGCTCGATTAAATAAAAAATAGTATAATTTAATATTTAATCTCCTCATAATATGTCTATCAAACAAGCCCATAGAGTTTTTATTAATGCTCCGTTTGGTATGATGAAAAATAAAAAGATAGAAAGTTGGAAGGATAAATAAAATATCATGTTTGATAAGAAAATAAAATAATAAGGATAAAAAAGTAGATGAATCAACTTTCCTTCCAACTCACCAAAATCAGAAGAAAAGTGGATGAAATGTTAATTATTTGTGTTGAGATGTATCTTATTTATCTATATATTTTTTGATATATACATATATCATATATACATTAATTTTATATAAAATACAATGATAAAATATGTATGCATATATATTTCTTTTTTTAAAAATAAAAATAAAAATAAAAAATTTAAATTAAAAAAATATTTTTTCCATCTTAGGTAAAGGTGAAAATTTTACATGACTCGAACTCAACACAAATTTTATGACATGAACTTGAAAATGACCTGACACACAAACTTGAAAATTACCTGACTCAACACGAATCTGACACGACTCAATTGTCACCTCTAATCGTAACCAACAAAAAAAAAAAAAATTAGTCATTTTTATTTTTAATCTATTCAATTAAACACAAATAAAAAAAAATTGTATCATTCTTACTTTTCTTCGTTGAATGATAGAATACATATCACTTCTAATTTTTATTCTTTCCTATTAAACGGATCATAAACTTTACCAAGAGTAGAACCAAACTCGAAGTTTCCCCTCAAGGAGCATCAGCCGTGAGGAAAGGCGTAAATTCAAGCCATATTGACAAATAAAAGGACGATCGTAACGTTAACTCGGCCATCTCGTCATCATCCGTCAACCCAACCCAACCCAACCCAACGTTTGATTCAAGTCGTATAATATTGAGGCACAAGTTAAAGTTAAAGGACGAGCGTAACATCGAGTCGGCCATCTACCTTTGATTCTCATTTGACTGCGACCCCTTCCTTCTTTTGTATGAAATGATATTTTGTAATTAATCAGTATTATTAGAATCGGACCGGACTGAAGGTCGAACCAGTGAATCAGGATCTTCAACAGTCCAATTTAGTAAAAAAACCGTTTGGATAATCAAATCGTTGGAGAACCAGAAAACCGGCCGGTTTAAGCCAAAAACCGGTGAACCGAAGATTAAAAAACCAGCATGTTCAAAACCAGCCTTCATCTTCTTCGTCTTCTCCAGCTCTTGAACAGCGGCACACAACACTACAAATTAGATCTTGAACACCAAACCTCCTCTTCTTCGTCTTCCCCAGATCGAGCTCTCGAACAGCGGCTTGACATCACGGATCTAGATCTCGAACACCAAAATTCAGATGGTCCAGATCTCGAACACCAGACCCCTCTTCTCTGTCTTCTTCAGTTCTTCTTCTTCTCCTCTCTCCCTCTCTCTTTCCACGCACACACACTCAGAGTCACAGTTAGCAATAGAGTAAAGAGATGCTACTGGGTCTTCTCGTTTTCACTATTTTTCTCTGTCTACATGCGCACACACACAATCTATGATTATATATGGACAATACTTTAATACATAAATGCTGGTTAGAAAGTTAATAATTATAAATCACACCCCAAATTGAATAAAATCTCCAAATTAGAAATTTAGAATACCATTTTGTGGATTTTATTTTTATTGTTATTGTGGATTTATAATTGGTATGAAAATTTGTATATATTGTGAACATGTTTATATTTTTTGGCTAGAGGAGACAGCCTTAAAAGCAATTGTCTAATTAATATGTGAAGGCTTGGAGGAAATCTTTTTCAATAACCTTTTTCACAAAATTGAGTGTCATCATTTATAACACATTAAATAAGGGACTTGACTACTGCTACCCAATAAAAAATAAATAATAGTAATTTGGTATTATACCTTGAAATTTTAATGAATATTTTTTAAATTTTTATAAGTTATTTTATAATTAAAAATTTATCATTTTTATGGGTGTTTTTATCACAGTTATAGTAATTATTTTTAACATTTTTTCAGTATAAAAGAAATTATTATTTTTTAATATTATAATAATGATAAAAACACATACAAATATAATAAAAATAAATATAATAATATTTTTTCTTTGGGTCCCATAGACAACTCCTTAAATTATAGTAGTGGTTGGCTTCGATGGTTTTTCAAACTATCCCAAGGGTAGAACAAAACTCGAAGATTCCGTGAAGTAGCACCATTGAGAAAGGTGTAAATTCAGGCCATATTGGCACAAGTTAAAGGACGAACGTCAGGTTGGGGTTGGGGTTGGGGTTGGGGTTGGGTTGGGCTTATGAAATGACAATTAGAATCCAACACGAGAGGTAGACCCAGAGATAATGCTATCTACAATATTGTATTTAAATTTTTTAAATAGATTATGAAATTAAAAACTGAAACATTAGGCCCACCAAAATATTTTTTTAGGTCCCAAATTTTAAAAAAAATTTATTACTTTTCACATTTTTTATAAACATATCCCAAAATTAAAATTGTAGGCTCTATAAAAGCCAAAGTCTCACAAAAAAAAAAAAAAATCTCATAAAAATCCAAGTTTAGGGATAAAAAAAAATATAAGACTATATCTAAAAAACTAAACAATAGTCACATGTAATCTAAAAATCCATTGAGGAGTGTTCATACGCTTCGTTTTTAAATGCTTTTGTTCTGTAAATCACATAGAAATGAAAAATTACCATCAACCCATCCCCCCCCCCCCCCTCTCTCTCTCTCTCTCTCTCTCAATGTGCGACGCTCAGTTTGAACACTTAAATAACATATATTTTTAATTTATTAACATTAATTATGGCTTACATTCCTAAAAAAACATTATATGTGGCTTGTTTATAAAATTTTTTTTAAGGTCACAAGAAAAATTGAATACTTAGGTGGTGTTTGATAAAACTGAAAATTGAAGTCTGAAAATTAAATGTTGAATTTGTGGACTGTTTGGTATTCACTGAAATTTAAGTGCTGAATTGAATTAAATTGTTTGATAATTACACAGAGCTGACATCTGAAAATAAATTAATTTTCAGTTTTACCCTTTTACTCTTTAACATAAATCATAATCATTATTATTATATTGTAGTTTACATTTAACAAATATTTTATCAAAATAAATAAATAAATAACATCTGAATAACACAATAAGTGAACAATAATAAATTGAATAACATGATAAGTGAATAATAATATCTAATAAAAAAAGAATAACTAATAAATAATCAAATAATATTAAAAAAATAAAATAAATTAGATTTCATTAATAATATATGTGTGCATCATGTGTGTGTGTGTGTGTAAGTATGTGTGTGTACCGTGCATATGTATGTGTGTAATTGTGTGTGTGCAGTGTGTACGTTTGTGTGTGTAATTATAATTATGTATGTATATTTTTGTTACCGAAGACAAGAGAAAGAAAAAAAAAAAGAGATCGACAATGAGAATATATAAGTTGAAGATTTTGAAGAAAGACTAATTAGTGATTTAATAGAATTGTAAAATATTTCGGGGTATAATTGTTATATTGTAAATATATTTAAAGATGGTTTTACTGAGCATTTTTAGCTTTCAGAATTAAGTAAAAGATCTCCTACTTAATATTATAATCTATTTTTAAGGAACACTTAATATATTAAGAGAGTTTAAATTTTTATTATCAAATAAACTTAATTAATAAGTGTTGAATATATTTATTTTAAGTGTTAAATTTGAATTAATAAACATACCCTTAGTCATAGAATTAATTACTAACAATAGAAAAAATTAAAAATTTTGTATCTTAAATAGTGAGAAAAATAAATTTTAATTGAAAAATAGAAAAGGTTTCAAATTATCTAGAACCGCCTCATTAAGAAGGAGTGTCCTTGCTTTGATCATAACAACTCATTGAATTAATTAAGCAGGTGGAAGCAATATTGGTTGGACTCATGCATGTCACCCACCTGTAAAAGCATCATAACACCTTACAAAGAAATGTGTGGCTCGATCTCTTTAATTTCTGAGGTCCTTTGCCCAGAAATGCAACCAAAAACCTTGAAAATTGTCCTCTACACTCTCTTCTTCTTATTTCCAACTCTGTACCACTCACTTCCTCTCTCTACAAACTCAAGATGGATCATCGAGGAGCCAAGTGGAAATCGAAAGAAACTGACCTGTGTCAACTGGGCTGCCCATCTTCAACCCATGTTACCAGAAGGGATTGAAAAGAAGCCATTAAAATACATTGCAGAGCAGGTGGGTGCAATGGGGTTTAACTGTGTACGCCTCACTTGGGCCACCTATATGTTCACTCGCTTTTCAAACCGCACTGTTGCAGAGTCTCTAGATCAGCTGGGTCTCAAACAGGCCATGGTAGGTATGACTCAGTACAATCCTCTGTTTTTGAACTTGACCCTCGTTGATGCTCAGAAAGCTGTGGTCGATGAGCTTGGAGCTCATAATATCATGGTGGTGCTGGATAACCATGTTAGCCTACCCAAGTGGTGTTGTAGTGAGAATGATGGAAACGGGTTCTTTGGAGATCTGTATTTTGATTCCAATGAATGGTTGCTGGGATTAACTATGGTGGCGAATCGGTATAAGGGTAATCCGGCGATAGTGGCCATGAGCTTGAGGAATGAGCTACGTGGTCCGCACCAGAACGAGACCGGTTGGTATAAATACATCCAGGAGGGAGCCACCGCGATTCACAGCGAAAACCCAGATGTGTTGGTGGTGGTGTCAGGGTTATCTTTCGAAACCAACCTGAGCTTCTTGAAGGAGAAGCCATTGGAATTGAATTTCAGCAACAAGTTGGTGTATGAGGCACACTGGTACGGGTTTTTCAACCCGAAACAGAAATGGTTGTCTGAAACACTTGAGATAGATGAAAGTGAAAGGGATACTCAAACTCAAAGTAGAGTCCCGTATATATAGCCAAAAATAATACAGAGTGACTTAAATATCCTTGTAGTTTAGGCAAAATATAAAAATCATAGTAAGGGTAAAAAAGAGAAAAGAAATCCTAATAAACCTAGACTACTATCTATACTCCAACACTCCCCCTCAAGCTAGGCGCAAAAATGTCAACTAAGCCAAGCTTGACAATGGAGTCCCGAAGAATAGACAGAGTAACAGGTTTGGTAAAAACATCCGCAACTTGATCACTGGTCCCCACAAACGATGGAGTAACAAGACCACTGGTGACCTTCTCCCGAAGAAAGTGAACATCGATCTCTATATGCTTCGTTCTCTCATGTAGTACAGAGTCAGAAGCGAGCTGAATAGCAGATTGATTATCACAATATAATGTGGATGGAGAGGTCACTGAAAAACCCAACTCGTCAAGAATCGATCGTAGCCAGATAATCTCACATGTGCCAAGTGCCAATGCCCGATACTCTGCCTCTGCGGACGAGCGGGAGACAACTGCCTGCTTCTTGCTCTTCCAAGAGATAAGATGAGTCCCTCGAAAAGCACAGAAACCCGTAGTAGATCGACCATCACATGCTCCCCCATAATCTGAATCTGAATAACAGGCTAGAGAACCGGTCTGAGATCCTGATGCATAAAACAATCCAAGTCCAGGACAAGACTTGAGGTACCGAAGAATATGATAAACTGCATCAAGATGAGGCTGACATGGCCTATGCATGAACTGACTAACTCGGCTGACTGCGAATGAAATGTCCGGCCTAGTATTGGCTAAGTAGATAAGTCTACCTACCAATCTTTGATAAACTGTCGGATCTTTCAACTCCTCACCTTCAGCAGTAAGCTTCAGGTTTGGAATCATAGGTGATGATGCCGGTTTGCACCCCAACATCCCAGTGTCTGAAAGAAGATCCAAAACATACTTTCTCTGAGAAAGAACAATACCTCTGCTTCTACGGGCAACCTCAATCCCAAGAAAGTATCGCAGAAATCCAAGATCCTTCACATCGAAGGCCTTCCCAAGGTCTATCTTGACCTGCGCAGTCCCAGAAACATCATCACCAGTAATAATAATATCATCAACATATACCAGAAGGATGACACACTGTCCAGAAGTATTCCGTCGAATAAAGCAGGTATGATCAGAATGACACCTGGTGAACCCCAATCGTAGAACTACATCACTGAAGCGAGAGAACCAGGCTCGTGGCGACTGTTTCAGTCCATAAAGAGACTTACGCAGTCGACATACCTTTCCAGCATACTCCCCCTCACCACGAAAGCCCGGTGGTGCATCCATATAAATAATCTCGTCCAGATCACCGTGAAGAAACGCATTCTTCACATCTAATTGATGAAGAGGCCAAGAGTACTCCGCAGCCAGAGAAATAATTAACCGAACAGTAGTCAATTTTGCCACGGGGGCAAATGTAGCACCAAAGTCACGACCTGGTACCTGAGTAAAGCCCTTCGCCACAAGTCTAGCCTTGTAACGATCAATAGTACCATCTGCCAGAAACTTCAGGGTGTAAACCCAGCGACAGCCAACAGGCTTCACCCCTGAAGGTAAGGAGACAAGATCCCATGTATGATTACGCTGAAGAGCGTCCATCTCTGTCTGCATGGCAAGAACCCACTGGGGCTCCCGCATAGCTTCCGAAATAGAGCGAGGAACCAGCGTATCTGATAAGGCCATAGTATAAGCTCGAAATGTGGGAGACAGATTACCATAAGAAACATAAGCAGAGATCGGATATAAAATCTTGGCGGTCCAACCATATCGATCAACTGGACGGCGATCACGCCTTGGATAACGACGCCCTAAATCACCATCCTCTACTGATAATATCTTATCAGGTAAAGTAACTGGCTCAGCACCTGTAATCTCATCAGTACTAACAACAGGTGCATCAATATGCTCAACAAACTGAGAAGTATTACCTGCATCGCCTGAGGTAGAGGGGATATCAGCAGGGTGATGAGAGCGAGGACAACGAGCATACACCTGCAAAGGAAGAGAGACTGGTAACTCTGTACTGACAGGGATGAGTGACTCCTTGGGAGGAAAAACGGATGACCCTGTAGGGATAGTGATCAATGACTCTGACTCTTGTGGTAATGGAAAATCAAAGGGAGTATCATCAACTGGAGGGGCAGACAAAGGACTGAAAGGAAAAAAAGGAATATGCTCAAGAAAGGTAACATCTAGACTGTGATACATACGACGCCTAATAGGATCATAACATCGATACCCCTTAGATTGATGACAATAGCCCACAAAGATACAACGAATCGCTTTATCATCAAGTTTATGACGAGTAGGAGACCGATCCTGAACAAAACATGTGCATCCAAAAACACGAGGGGGGACCGGAAAAAGTGTCCGCTCAGGAAATAAGACCTGTAAGGGAGCCTTATGCTGAAGAACACGACTCGGCGTACGATTGCACAGAAAGGTAGAAGTCAAAACAGCAAAATGCCAATAAGATTTTGGTACCCTCATGCCTCTAAGCAGACAACGTACCATCCCTATCAAACTCCTATTTTTCCTCTCAGCAACACCATTTTGCTCAGGAGTATATGGACAAGTGAGTTGCTGAAGGATACCCTGAGAAGAAAGGTGAGACACTAAAGCATCAGACACATATTCTTTGGCATTATCCGAACGAAGAGCACGAACAATGACATCGAATTGTGTCTTAATCATCTGTAAAAACTGAGTGATTATAGGGAGCACATCAGACTTCCTATGCAAAAGGTAGACCCAAGTACAACGGGTATGATCATCTATAAATGTCACATAATATCTGGCACCTGACAGAGCAGTAACGGGAGAGGGTCCCCAAATATCAGAGTGTATTAGGTCAAATGGCTTGGGTGACTGGTGCATGCGAGGAATATAATTGGCCCTAACATGTTTTGATAGGGAACAGATAACGCAATCAAGTTTACCACCAACACAAGCATTACTCAAAGCAGGAAACAACATACATAAATATTTAAAATTTGTATGTCCAAAACGGTCATGCCACAATTGAACAGTTTGTGGCGAAAAATCATAACGACAACTACTAGGTAAAATACTAGCATGCAAGCTAGGAACAGAAAAAAACAAAGCAGGTGCAGGTGAAGGAATTGGTGAAACTGGAGATGGATTGCCAAGATAATACAGTCCATCTTTCTCATGTCCCTTGATAATAATCCTCCTGGTACTCAGGTCCTGCAAATAACACGAATCAGATAAGAATACAACCGCACAGTGAAAATCTCTGGCTAACTGATGTACAGATAATAGATTCATGGCCAACTTTGGCGCATGAAAAACCGAATGTAATGTAAGGCCATCTGGGAGACGGACTGTACCCCTACTAACAATAGGGGCATGTGTTCCATCTGCTAACTGAACCTGTGTATGTAACGGCTCGTCAAAAGTGGTGAAGTGATGGGCCTCACCTGTCATGTGACCATTCGCACCCGAGTCCAACATCCAAAGGGGAGATGAACTGGCACAAGCGTGAAAGGCACGAGATATACCTGTAGTGGTGACAGCAGCAGTAGTCAGACTCTGAGAAGTCAGAGCAGACATAAGTATATCTAATCGGGAAGTGATAGCATCCATATCACTTTGCCAAGGAGGAGCAGTAGCAGGAGTGGCGGTAGTGGGCGGTGGTATCTCAGCAATAGCAACAGTACGGCTGCGAGAAGGTGACTTAAGCTCTGGATGGAGCTTCCAGCAAGTAGCCCTGAGATGTCCTGGTCGGCCACAATAATCACATTGACGGGAATCCCCCCGTCTGCGCTGATCTGGGATGCCCTGACGGCGCTGGTCTGAGCGTTGCCCATCCCTGACTAAGGATCCTGAACGGGACCCTACAGCAGTTGCAAGGGCCATCTGGTCAATCGAAGGAGTCAAAGCTGTAACTGGAAGTGATGCAATACGGACTCGACGCTCATGCTGCTCAATCATCCCATACACCTCATAAAGAGAAGGAAGTGTCAACATCGACAAGATCTGAGAACGAGGTCCCTCAAACTCATCACGAAGCCCCATAAGGAACTTGTGAATCCTATCCTCCTGCTCTCGAGTATGCAAGAATGCTGCTCCCTCGGGCTCTATCTTCGGAATAGCAGCAAGAGGACGTAGAGACTCATACTCAAGCCAGCGCTGGGTCAAATAGCCATAATAATCCTGAACGGTCATATCTCCCTGTCGAGCATATGAGAGCTCCTGAGAAAGCTCATAAACACGAACTCCCCGTCCTGACTGAGAATACATCTCTGATAATGCGCTCCATAGCTTCGGAACAGAGCTATGAAACTGATGGATCCTGCAAACAGAGGGCTCCATTGAGCCAAATAACCATCCAAGAATGGCACAGTTTTCAGAGAACCACGCAGAATATCCAGGGTCGGCATCAGCTGGCTTTGGGTGAGATCCCGTCAGCCAACCAAGCTTCCCTACACGGCCTAAGAAAAGCTGGAATGAGCGTGACTACTCAGCGAAGTTACGACCATTCAACAATTGTGCCGTAACTTTTTGAGAGATCATGCCCGGTAATGCTGGTAATGCAACTGTGCCAGTAGGCACTGTATACTGGTCAAACATAAAAGTGGAAGTACCCATAGATGTCTCAACGGTAGAGGTGTCAACAGTAGGGTTCTCAAGTCCCTCAGTAGTAGCCATATCAACAACAATACTAGGGCACCCGTGACAGAAAAATAACTCTAAGATAAATAGAGGAATAAAATAAGGGAGAACAATATACCTTCAGTCGAACAGTAGCGACAAATAATGAAGGTCCAAAAAGCTCCCAAGTAATCAAGTCACGGTGCCCAGAAATCCAATAAATATAAATGATCTACTGCATTAAAAGCAGATCAACGGAGAAGAGGATTCAATCCCTCTTAAAACAGTCTTAGATACTGCAACCTGGCAGCACTGTGACAAAGAATGCGAACAACGAAGTTACAACAAAAAAAAAAAAAAAATACGACCCAACAGTGGGCTGAGGAAGGCTGGGTCGCTAGTTGCTATTTTTGGGTTTGCTGGGTTATGGGTTGTATGGGGTTTGGTTGGACAGTGGGCTGGTTTGGTATATGTTTAATGGGCTGGGTCTGTCACTAGTATAATGAAGAGGTAGTCGGTGGAGTGCTTTGGTCGGTGATTGAGTTGCTTGGTTGCTTGGTTTAATGGAGTGCTCTGGTCTCTGGATTTCTTTGCTGGTTGCCTTTTTTTTTTTTTTTTTTTTTTTTTTTTTTTCGTTGGTGAGTCGATTACTGGGCAATGGGGTACTGTGTTTGTGCTGTATGGTCACAGGTATATGTTGTCGGTGTATTGGGTTGTTGGTATATGTTGTCGGTGATGAGTCAGTTGGTGGCTTTGGTTTTGTCGCTGGTTTTAGTTTGGTTGTAGGGGTTGCTAGTTGTTGGTGTTGTGCAGACTTGGGTTACTGGTTGCTGTTTTGTTTGGTTGCTGGAAGGATTATGGTGGAGGTGCTGAGCAGACTTGTTGGTCGGCTAGTGATTGGAGGTATGCTAGAAGAATTATGGTGGAGGCTAGGGTTAGGGTTAGGGTTAGGGTATGGCTCTGATACCAACTTGAGATAGATGAAAGTGAAAGGGATACTCAAACTCAAAGTAGAGTCCCGTATATATAGCCAAAAATAATACAGAGTGACTTAAATATCCTTGTAGTTTAGGCAAAATATAAAAATCATAGTAAGGGTAAAAAAGAGAAAAGAAATCCTAATAAACCTAGACTACTATCTATACTCCAACAGAAACGAATGAGGAGTGTGCAAACGTGACAGAGGAATTTATCAAACAGTCTGCCTTTGTGATGATGAGTAGTACTAGTAGGAGTAGCAACAACCCGGCTCCTCTGTTTTTGAGTGAATTTGGTGTGGATCAGAGAGGTGTGAATGAGGGAGATAACAGGTATTTGGGTTGCTTGTTAAGCATTATGGCGGAGAGAGATATTGATTGGGCCTTGTGGGCTTTGCAGGGAAGTTATATGCTGAGGGAAGGGCAGGTTGATTCGGAGGAAGTGTATGGGATGTTTGATGTTAATTGGGATCATCTTAGAAATTCAACTGTGCAACAGAGGCTACAGCTTATAAAACAGATGACCCAAGGTATGATTTTTCTGATTTGGGCCTCCTAATGAACTGGGTTTATGCTTGCGTAGATTATTCGAACTAGAGTAATTCGAATTGGTTTAAGGACATGTCTCATCCGGAACAGACCTGACATCTCTTTGAGGGTAGGCTGGACACTGGAATAGGGTTTCTTAACGAACGGTTTGGTTAGCCTTTCTTAGAGTATATTCATGATACTTTCGGGTCATGTTTTGATGGTATGACATTCTTGTATTGGATTGATTATCTAATCCAACCTAGTCCAGCCCCAAGTTGGTTTGGATCCAAAGAAATGTGTGGCATTCGAATTATCTAATGGAATCTAATCCTTTGCTTGCTCATTGTCTTTGAATTCCTAGGGTTGGGATGAAAATGCGTCAAAATACTGATTTATCCCTTGAAATTGATTTTTTTTTTCAAGGGTAAATGTAAATATCGATTTATCCATTGGGATTGGTTTTTTCAAAGGTAAATTAGTCTTTCAGGAAGATAATCCGGTCTGGCCCCACCAAAATATCCTAGTTCATCCCACCTATCCCATAAGATGGAATAATCCCCACATAGAAAGGGGCAGCAATAGTGCAATACTATTCATGTCAGTCTAATCCCAACCCACTGTTCACCATCCAAACATGGGATTTGTGGCTGCTTGGACTAATTTACTGCTATCTCACCCTACTATCCCACCCTTATCCTGCGAGTCGGCCATTTTTCTTCTGAACTTACGTGTTTGAATGATCGTGAGCTCTAGTAGGTTGATCAGTTGCGAGGGTTGATTCGTCCTATCTTCTTTTCGATCAGCTGGTTAATATAATATTTTATTGTTCGAAGATGTGACTAATTTAACTGTACTTTTCTTCCTCCTTAGGGGAATTGCAAAATCAAATGACAGAAAACATATCCTTTATCATGTATCATCCCCAAAGTGGGCAATGTGTTCAAGCAGCCAAGGACAGCTTTTTCACAAGCGATTGCCAAGATTGGAGTTTTTGGGCACACCACGAAGATGGAGGCCCGATCCGGCTGACGGATTCTTCAGGATGTCTTACCGCAGTGGCTGATGGGGTTCCGGCCATTATTTCCGATGATTGCTCGAGCCAGAAGAGTATGTGGAAGCTTGTTTCTAGCTCCAAGCTTCATGTAGCTGCTCAAGATGAACTAGGAAGGTACTTGTGTTTAGAATGGCACTCTTCAAACACTACCATTTTGACAAAAAGATGTGTGTGTGTAAGTGATGATGCTAAAGATGTTCCCAATTGTACCGACAATCCCCAAAGACAGTGGTTTAAGCTTATTCCAACCACTAAATAGTAAAAATATAGGTTACAGCTTTGATTATTTTCCCTTGTTTTTATGCACGAGAATCGTCTCTTGCATGTGGGCTTTACACTTGTGACTACGACGTAAATTCGGGATGAACCAAATCACTCGCAAACCATGGGTACAAGTCAACCATGATCACTCGCAAAAGAGTCGAAGTTATTTTTCCATATTAGCCAATGAGTTTCAAGTGTTCTTATACATTGAATGATTATATAAGTGCGCCTGCAAAGGGTTTTTTTTTTTTTTTTTTGTGGTTCAACGGTTAAGAGTATTTAGATCAATTTAATTCTCTACTTAATCCGGTTAAATGCAGACCATCCACACTGAAGTTAAGATATTCATAAAAGATAAATTTTTTATAGTATGATCATAAAGAATTTTTAAAATTCAAATTTAGAACGTTTAGATTTACAGTTTGTCTTTATTATCATTTAAACTACCTTTTGAGTTTGCAGAGAGAGAGAGAGAGAGAGAGAGAGAGTCATCGTAATAGACTCTCTGCGATCTTCACAATAAAGTTTGGGAAGAGCCTCAATAGGGAAATATTAAAATGGGCCCTCTTAAAGTTTGGTAAAGTTAATATATTGTCTGTGCACAAGGACCTACTAGATAGGCCTCTAATTTCTATTCAAGATTCAACAGGCAGTACAAAAGTATAGCACAAAGAATCAAGCAAAAAAGCAAGAAAATCAGGCAACTTTGATTATCAGGACAGAGATAATTTGGGAGGGGCCCCTCTGGTCACGAAGGAAAACGCAATCAATCGCAGTTAGGCAAATTGACTTTGGGCCGGGTGGGTCATCAGGCCCATGCTCAATCTTTACCAGCGTTGAGTACACAAAGCTAAAGGCAACTGATCTCGATGAAAGTGGTGCATAAATGGATAATAAAGGAAAGGGAAGGGGAGGGGCCAAGGTTGGCATAGCTTTCTTAGTAATTGTCTGCACAAGCCAATAGAAAGTTGCGTATTAGGATTTTTTTTAGACATAAATAAAGAAGAAGTATTGTAAAAGTAATTCCATCCTAAGTCGAAACCAAATCTGTCTGGGCATCTTGGATGGTCTTCAACAAGGCTGAATTTGGCAACCCATCTGATGGTAGGCAACCTGTAAATTGCATAGCAAGGACCCTTTTTACTAATTCATGTGCTGCTTCATTATTCCCCTTTCTAGTGGGTATTAGATATGTGGGTATTTCACATCAGATAAAAAAACGAAGTAAAAGTATCATAATATACGAGGAATAGGTTCGCAAGTCACGATCTTAGATTATTATTCTGCCAACAAGTGATATTAAATCTAATAATTGACGATTCTAAGTGAACTTTAAAAAAAAACGGTGTAGTGTGTCGGTATTAATAATGACTCTTAAGAAAAGTAATGAATTCTTAGTATTGAAGTCATGGAAACACACCTTAGCAAAAGAATAAGATGCGGGTCTTGGTGTGTAACGACCCTTAACATAGTGGTAATGCAATGACTCATAAAGAGTAAGGTGGAGCTAAGTCCGATGTAATTCACACATGAGGGAGAAATTGATAGGTATTAAATTTTGTGTGTTTATATTCGGATTGATTAGGTTAGACAACCTCATTCATTTCATACTCATCCAGCTAGAGAAGAAAGACAAATCTAAAATTTATACCTCCTTATCTCTCATTTAGTTCAGTTATTGAAAAGTAGTGAGCCCACACTTGTCTCATATAATAATTTGTTTGGATAAAGTATTGAATAATGATATAATCATTAAAATTGTCAAACAATCCCAAATTAACCTAATCTAAGATTTCTCCGGGATAAAAATCTCTTTTACTTCAATAATACTCTTTTTAAAACGCATTGAACGGTTTAGTGCATTTATTTCTTTTTTCACACAGGTAATTATATGTGATGTCCATCTATTTCTCTATTTACACGGGAGTAATGTCTATACATCTAGTTTTTCTTGAAAGGCGTCTCTCGTTTTGGAAGCGTTGGTTGCGCATAATCGTAACTTTTCTTGCATCAATTATTGCTTTCACGCAGCATTGGATTGCTGAGGATACATGCAGGGCTAAGGTGAGGCACTTGAGAGGCGGCATGGCATGGTTAGATCCACCAGGACCTCCATTCCTCTACCACCCTAATGTAGCTTATAGCTAGAAATAGGTCTTTTGACTAGCTTTTCAAACACCCTTTAAACAAGGGGGGTCAGAACACACAGTTAACGTTGAAAAGCATTGCAAAGAAAGAGCAGGCCTTCATACTTTTTTTAACTTGGTTGTGTAAGCTACGGGTTTTGGGTCTTAGCGCGATATAAAGAGATGGTATTAAAAAAATAGTATGTGAGATTTATCTTATACGTTATTTGTTTGATATTTTATAATCAGTATTATTTTTCGGATCGTAATATCAACCCGCTATGAATAGTAGTCATAATGCCTAGTAGAAGATCTTAATGAATACCACCTAGGAGGTGATATTATATTTTTGGTATAAGTATTATAAACTAAAAAGACCGAAATGTCCTCCAATATAATTCCCATACAAAAGCCTAGCAGCAATTTTTGACTTTTTAAAGATTAAAATTGTCTTTTACATTTGTTAGTTGCAATTATTGACTTTTTTAAGTAGGAATTACAGAGATAATATTTGTGATAAACAAACAACAAGAAGGATGAGATTATAGTTTAACACCGGGTATAATATACTATTGAATTTGAGTAGAATGAATATAAAACCTTATACCACATAAAGTTTATACTCGAAACAAGCATACCCTACGAGGAAGCATACCTTTACTAAAGAGATACATGTCCTCTTATTTAAACAGATTACTTTAAAATTAGTATGACTATGCTTTAAAGTTTAATTCAGAGATTTATATATGTAGTTAATTAGATCTCTAAATTAAGTTTAAATATTATTTTTTAATGAAAAACTAAATTGTACAATCCAGATATTTTCGAGGGCTTGATAAAATCATGTTTGACTTGATAGAAAGTTGAAAGGTAGGTTAATGCTAATTCGACGAAAGTACCTTCTCTCATGACGATGATAGTGACAGTAACAGTTGTAATAACAATAGTGGTGATAGTCGTATTTTAGTGGTATAGTGACAAAGCAGTCCAATGGTGATGCAATATGAATAGTCACAAAAAGTTTAATCTGTTGGTTATCTATTGCTCACTTATATATACTCGTTTAACTAATTGAATTGATATTTTCAGCTCGCTGGTAATTCCTTCAATGTGAAAATTAAAAAAAAAATCTACAAATTTAGAGGCGATTAGATAAATAGGTTGATTTTTGGGGTCACAATTATCAAGTTTGCATGTGATGGGTGTATGCTTATAAAAGATGCTTTTTAGATAGATGTGCAAGTTTATGAGTCTGAAGAAAAAATTATTGGAAAAGGGGTGTCTTTAATGCTAATCCTCATCCGCCCAATCCAAAGGTATTATTAAAGTAAACACTTTTACAAAGCTTTTAATACTGTTCTCCCTTTCTTAAATGAATAAAGAGGTATGCAGTCATTATAAATCTAGAAACTAAGTTGCCTTGTCAGCCTTCAATTAACATTTACTGTGAAGTGAGGGTAATTCTTCATTGAGAAAGTTCAACGGGAGGCTATGAGCAGATGTGTTAATCAAGACGGACTATTCGTAGTTGATTCGGGTTCGACTCAAATAAAATTTGACTTGACTCGCGTTTTAAACGAGTTAAATTTGTATAATTTTTTAAACTAGTTTAAAAAATAGAGTCTAAAAAATTCGGTTTAAGCTCACTAAATTCGGTCTATTTACGTGTAAAATAGTTGAGCTATTCGGACTCGGACTCGACTCGAGTTCTAAATGAACTAAGGTTGAACAATTTTTTAGGTTCATTTAAAAAAACAAGCTCGCTAGGATCGGGCTCAAACTTACAAAATTTGACTCGATTAACACCCTTAATTATGAAAAATTTACCTTTCATGAATTTCTTAATTTTAGCGTAGATGTCGTGTCTTTAATTGAATCGGGGAGTAGACTAGTAAGGTACGCACAAGTTGACCTAAACAACTTTTATCGTTGTACTAAAAAAAAAAACATCACATTCTTATTTGACAAAAAAAACATATGTACTGACAAAAAATAATTGGCAGACTCCACATGGTGCCGGTGGTTAGGATACTTTTATGAATTCATGAATGGTTCGATCTGTTCGTGGCTTGGGAAAGCTCTTCTCAAAATCCCAGTTCTGATTGTAATGTGGGTCATTGCTCAATTATCTGTGATATCAAGGGCTGAGATTAATCCATGACTTTGAAAGTCAAACCTTTTCGAAGATCTAACCCCACTCAATAAATGTGGTGGTCCCCTTTATATGCATGTTTGCAGGTGACTTCAATACTGCAATTGGCCAATTAGGTTGAGTCGGAGGAGAGTTGCAGCAGTCCTTTTACGTCTGGAGAAAGCAAAGTGGGCCCAAACATTTAGCCCAATGGGTCCAATCCTCGACCCGAAGGACTCGAAACAAACTTCTCTCTATTTACGGCCTATTAATTTGTAGAACTTACGAGTTAACTTTTTCAAAAAATTGTTGAAGGGGGTAATATCAACACCATGTATAAAAAAGCTAAAGGAAGGATTTCAAAGTACATTTGACGCTAATGTAAAAGTTTGAACCAGGGCATAAGGTGAATAAGAGATTAAATAGGACCATTTGGAGAGATATAATGTATTTGGCCGAATTAAAGTAGATTCGATCGAACAGAGAATAAGATTCAACCAAGTAAATAGATAGATTATCTCAACTGAGCTAAAATGGGTTCGACCAAGCAAATAGCAAGACTATGTTAGTCATGTTAAAGTAGGTTCAGCTAAGTAAAGGATAAGATTCAATCGAGCAAATATTTAAACTATCTCAAAAAATTTAAACACATAAATAACACGTAAAAAAATTGCTTGAATCATAGGAACACACAATTAGCATGTGACTTAAAAAAATTTGACTAATGAGAAAGAAAAAATTCTAAGGTTCAAATAGAAGCTCTGCTTGAAATTTAGGTATGCCACCATATTTTAATTAGCATTTTAGTTTTAAATAATCAGAATGGGCTCCCTATAAATACCAAGTAAAGCTTTAGACTAAGGTAATCACACTTTCTCCCATGAATTGTTTCTCCTCTCTTGTGTCATTGTTGACTTAAACATTTGACTACCTCTGACTGTTATTCCATCGATCTACGATAATTTTTCATTTTGCAAGTTAGAGACGATCTTGAGTACTCACCCTACAATAAATCTCTTTATTCTAAAAGTTGTGAATTTTTCTCCCTTCAACTGTCCTATGGTGTTATACGTGCAAAATAATTTTCTTGCTATGAAAATAGGAAAAGGACTATGGTAGGAAACACAAATTTTGGTACCCTATCGTAAAATGTTTTTTCTTTTTTATAAATTTTGAGAATTATTTTGAATATTTAAATATATTTTTAAATTGATCTTAAAAATATTAGAATCAATTCTAAAATGTTATGATTGATCCTAACAAATTTGGATTGTCTCAATTGCCCAAAAAAATTATAAATAACTCCTTAAAAAAGTTTTAACTTGAACCCTAAATGGTACAACATGATTTAAAAAGTTGAACTTTTTTGTTATAAAAATATCAAAAAATTTATATCTCAACTCACCAAATTTATAAAACTTTGTTGTTGTCCCATGACCAATTCACAAGGATTCATTCATGTAGCATAAAATTTGTGCGAGTTGTAACAAAATTAGACAGTTTTCATCAATTTCACCCAAATTTTTTAACTTTTAATGACATAGAACAACCATCGATATCGAGATAGTTACAGTTTAATACAGATGTCAATACAACATTGACTCTCGTACAAGGGAAACTATGAGCAAC